AAATGCCAATAAAACAACCACAAAGCAGCTGGAGCATCAGCACCGATCTGACCCTCCCTCTATCTTCAAGTTAAACAGGGTATCAACGCATTTACACTTACAAACACAAACAAAGCTATCCAGAGCCATAATGGAGCCACTAGGGGGCATCAGCACGGATCTGTGCCCCCCTTTGCTTCTGGAAGATCTGTATTTTACACTGCTCAGATGGTGATCAGGAGGTTGGTTACAGTTGTGCAGACATGAAGGAGGAAGAGGACATGGAGAAACCCAAAGTCAGTGTGCCCTTGTCTTTGGCGCTAACCCGATGAAGCAGGATATGGCACTGTCCATGGTGCTGAACTACTGGTACCTCAGGAAAAAGAGGCAGCAACCATAACTCACACACACACACACACACACACACACACACACACACACACACACACACACACACACACACACACACACACACACACACGCATAGTTGTTAAAGGGTTGGATAATGAGGATGTTGGGTCAAGGAGGGTGGCCCGGATGTGGATTTGCCCTGGGTCAAACCCAGTCCCTTCTGGAGGATTCCAAGGTGTTCCCAGACCAGAGAGGCAACTGTTATGTTCTGGCTCTAAGCAATAAAAAAGAAAAGGAGAAGTCTCATCAAAGTTTAAGTAAAGGTGTAGTTTTATTTTGTACAGCCGTGTCTCACTTGAGCCTGCTGTATTAGGCTCCCTTTGTCCTTTTCCTCTGGCAGGAAAACTCACAGCTGCCTCCAGTCAGTGATCAGCTCCTCCTGGAAACATTCAGGTTCTTAAGCCACCCCACAAAGGGCTTTAGTCCATAACACTTATTAATTAGCCCAGTAATTTCTGGGTCTGCTCCACCATCTTCTAGTGGAATGTGTTTGGAACACCTCTATGGGAAGGTGACCCCAACTGACTCCTTTTGATGAAGAAGAGCAGAGGCCCCACTCCAAACTCTCCTACTATATGAAGTTACTTATCAATATACTTCTGTTCCTGCCACAAAAAAAATATATATATATACATACATACATATATATATATATATATATATATATATATATATATATATATATATATATATATCATAATATATATATATATATATATATATATATATATATATTATGATCAAAAGTGAGAGTTGAAATGTAGAATGACTAAAAAAAGTTGACAGCTTTACCTTAGAGCTCAGCTCCATCTGTAGCACAACAGAGTAGAACAATTACCCCATTGTTGGACATAAAGCTTCACTTTGTTAGTCCATCCCTTTCTTTATTCTATCACTAAAAGAGGAGACACCAAGATGGGAGCATTTTACTTACTTTCAAAAAACATGGCCTCTCAATTGCAAAAGGTTACTGTTTTCTAAGATGTGCAAAAATGACACAATGAGAAAATAAATACCAGTTGTTCCATTTTTGGTTATTTTTAAAACACAGAAAATGTTTTTCTTTATCTTGCTGACATACATTTCGTTTGCTGACTGCAAAACATCCTCAAAGCTGCATGGCGCTGATGGTGGCGTCACTTCCTACTCCGTTTATCCGCGGGCAGCAGAGGGTCTGCCGCAGATAAACAGAGTAGGAAGTGACGCCACCATCAGCGTCAGCTCTGAAAATGTTTGGCAGTCGGCAAATGAGACGTACATCAGTAAGGTAAAGAAAAACCTTTCCTGTGTTTTAAAAAGAACAAAAAATGGAATTATAAACTAAACACAGTAAGAACACACCAAAGATGTTTAAATACCAGTTATTTTTAAGATAATTAGATTTTTACCATACCATGCGATTTTATTTGTATAGCACAGTTTTGTGCACAACATGAGAGCTGACCAAAGTGTTTCACAGGCAAATACAGCAACTAAAAACACTAAAATGGGGATAAAAAAAACAAAAACAGAGCGATAAGATCACAATTTAAAACACAATAAAAGATAAAAACACACAAAAAAACAGTTTAGACAATAAAACAGAGAAACTACCCCTCGAGTCAGAAATGAAAAGCAAATCCATAAAAGTGGGTTTTCAAGCAAGATTTAAAACTGCCAAAGAGGGAGCCTGCCTTACAGTAATGGGCAATGCATTCCACAGCTGGGGGCAGCATGGACAAATGCTCGCTCACCCCTCGATTTATAGCACATCCGTGAAATACAGAGCAGGGGGTGATCAGCTGAACTCAGTGAGCGAGTGGGAGCATACGGTGTAAGCAGTTCTGACAGGTATTGTCATGCTGTGAGTAGGGGAGAGGTTAGGACCCAAGATGCAGAACCAGGGAGACACAAGGCAGGAGGGGGAATAAACAACAACAACAACAAAAAAAAACATTTATTAAGAGTGATTGTCCCAAAGTAAATCCAATAGGGCAGGAAGCCTAAACCAAAAAATCCAAAAGTCTTAGTATTAAAACCAAGAGACCTAGAGACAAAGTGCTCCCTTAAAGAGCAGACCTGGACATATCCAAAAAACAAGAGACCAAGAGAAGGGGCGAGACAACGCTGACACAAACAATGGACCGACAACCATGGAAAGACAGGACAGGGTTTTATACTCAGGGGCTGGGTGATTAGGAGGATTGGGCACAGGTGATACCAATAACCAAGAGGAGCAGAACAGGGCATGTGAGGAAAGTCCCAACTAAAACCTGTTAAACAAAGCTACTGAACTAAATAACTTAACACTGTAGAAATAAGACACTGGAGAACTAATGATAATAAAACTAATGACCTAGGAGTAATAGAACCAAAAACACTGGAAGACGGGAGGATGATACCTAAAGGGAGAACCAAACTAGACAATCTACAATAACAGAAAACTAATGATCAGAAAAGTGACTAAGGGAACCATGAGGGAAACCTGGAGAGAACCTGGAGGGGGCTGGGGACACAAGGAGACACATAAGGGGAAGCTAGAGAGGGATGGATAACACAAGGAGACACATGAGGGAGCCGCAGAACGCAGGCCATGACAGGTATGCTGGTGCTTCACCATTTAGTGCCTTAAAATCAAAAGTCAGCAGCTTGAACTGTACACAGAATATGACAAGGAGCCAATGAAGGCGTGCAAGGACCAGTGTGATGTGGCTACGTCTGTTTGTATTCGATAGGAACCTAGCAGCTGCAGTTTGGACAACTTGTAGCCGATTTCAGACTGAGTTGGGAAGTGAGGAGTGAGTTTGCATAGTCTAACTGGGAGGTAACACATGCACGAATAACTATTGTAAATGCCTCAGTTTCAGAATTGGTTTCAGATGAGCTAGACGATGTAACTGGTAAAAACATGACCTCACAACAGAATTTACCTGAGAAACCATCGAGAGTTCATCATCTAATTTTAGCATCATTGGCAGACTGAGTGCAAGGGGGACTCCGGTGACCAAAAATGATGAACTAAATTTTTAGTTCATTTAATTTAAGAAAGTTAACAGCTAGCCAGTCCTTTACATCTGCCATGCATGCTGAGAGCTGAGAGTCTGCATTTGTATCATTTAGTGCCACATTAATTTAGCAGTTGTCAGCATAGATATGATAGCTGATACCATGCAAGCTAAAAAATTTGCCCAGTGGCAAAAGGTAAATTGAAAAAAGAAGTGGCCCAAGGATGGAGCCCTGTGGCATGCCCCAGAGCAGAGGACATGAGTTTGAGGTACAGTCCCCAAGCTGGACAGTAATCAACTGATTTGACAGATAAGAGCAAAACCATTTCAGCGCAGTGCCCGTCAACCTCAACCATGATCCAAGCTGGTCCAACAAAATGCAATAGTCAAATGTATCAAAGGCAGCTGACAGGTCCAATAGGAGCAACAAAACCCGAGACCCAGAATCAGATGTCACAAGAATGTCATTTAGCACCCTAATCAGGGCAGATTCAGTACTGTGGTGTGGCCTAAAAGCAGACAGAAACACGTCTTGCATCGAGTGTGTGTCCATAGGTGCAGTTTTTCTGAATGAGAAATCTAATAAATAGATTCAGAAATGTCTTCATATCTTACTGACTTCTGTTTCTATAATACACTTTAGAGTACTTGAATTTCTTCCAACATTGGGTTACTTTTACTACTATCCGTGCACAGTGTGTCTTACGTGGAAGATTTTTTTTTAGTTAATGTTGTGGAATTTACAGTTTTGCCTCAGAGTAAACACCATCTTCACTGATTGTTCAGCGAGACCTGTTAATGTGTACAATACTGTATTTTATAGATCTTAGTAGTCATTTATAAGAAGTCAATGTGTCCAAGACGCACATGCTGCAGAAATTAAATCACTGATATTTAATGCCTTGTCCATGGCTGAGTACACCTCAAAAGAGAGGGGTGTTCTGCAGCGCTTATTGATGCCAAGTTGTAATTCTCTAAAGATCACTTCCTTCCTTCAACACTCGATTTAGCTTTTAGTAAGTTCAGACTTTATAGAAATTAAGCTTTTTAAATTATATCCTTGCTAAAACCTGCATCCCAGCTGCCTTTTCTTACCATTTTCTGCTATGCACCATGGGTTACCAGTTGAATGTTGAAGCAGCTTAGGATGACAGCAGTGGCAGGGTAAAGAGGAGGGTGGGATCTGAATGTGAACAGACAGGCCTGTGGTGGGTAGTGACAGGAACAGGAATGAAATGTTTTTCTCCAGGTTTTTTTTAAGTTGTTTACTTTCCTTGGTCACACACACACACACACACACACACACACACACACACACGCACACGCACGCACGCACGCACGCACGCACACACACACACACACACACACACACGCACGCACGCACGCACGCACACACACACACACACACACACACACACACTTTATTCTGGTGGAACAGTTTGTTTTTCTGCATAACCATGAAAAACCTCAACTTTTCAAATGTAAAGATAAAGATTCTTCAGCTGGCTGAATATCACAAAAATATGACAGATTCTGGATCAGTAAAGACTCCAGATCCAGGTGTCTGAAATGAAGAAGCACTCGTCCCCTGCATGATACTGCTCTGTATGGGTCTTGGTATCTTACTTGAGATTGTGAATGCCGTCCGGTGTTGCTGGGACATTGAATCTTCTCATGTACTCGTGCATCTCGGGGAAACTCTTCTTGACGTAGTCCTCTGCACTGCTCTCCCTCACTGTAGCGAAGCGGAATCCCTGAGAGGGATGGTGCAGCTGCAGGAAAAACCACAGAGATATATCCTTTAATAAAAAAGAAACTTTTGTTTTGAATTATATCCCATTCTTTTTGATGAGTTTTTCTTATTTATTTTTAATTTCTTTGCTTGCAGTGCTCAGGTAGAATGCAACAAGCTGACATTTGAATAGTTACACAGTTTTATTCAATTTGTAATTTTTGATTTGTTTTTTAATGGTTTTGCCCTTGAAATAACTTAGGATGTGGTGAATAAATAATTAAATTATTATCCAGCAAAAATTAAGATTAAAATGCATACTTGACTGAATAAATAAGCATAATTCAAAAAGGGAACTTTACTAAAGGCTAAGAAGTAAAATTTTATTTTCAAGTTTTTCATCTTTTAGAGGAGCAAGTCTGTATGAAGTTTCACATTTCGGGGGGAAGAAACTATTCCAGTAAATACTCCTGTCTGTAAGAGGCATTTATGTGTCAGATTGAGTCTCGAGTCTTTGAAGTAAAGTCAAGTCTGAAGACTTTATGTGCATGTCCAAGTCAAGACTCAAGTCTGAATCCAGTCTTTGAGAGCAAATCCAAACCAAGTAAGACAATGAGGGTTGAGTCCAGGTCATGTCTCAAGTTTTTCAGGAGCAATGTCAAGTCTCTTATTATTTTACCATATTACATTCCTGCCTTCGGAATAGTCTGACAGAGTCTGAATCATCACAATCCAAGAACCTACAGGAGATTCATGTTTCATACTATAACATTTCTGCATTATTTTTGTACTTTTATAATATTTTCTAAGTGAAGGTCTAAAAAATTGCTTATAGATTTTTTATTTTACATTTAAATTGATGAGACATGATTGGTGCAAAGATGCAATCAATATAAAAATCTATATTTAATAATGAAATGTATTGGAACACATACTCTAAGGCTGGGGTTCCCATTAGCGGGAACTCGGTAAGTCATACCTTTGGATCATGTATTCCTGACAGTTGCTCGTAGGTTTTCTCTCCGACCATGACAGCAGCCAGGTTAGCTGTGTAGGTGGACAGACAGAACAGACAGAATATGGCCCAGAGGTTCATCAGCAGACGCCCAGTCCAGCACTTTGGGGGCTTGATGGCCACCGTTCTCCCAAAGAGAATAGCGTAGCAAACGTTGAGCGCTGATGAGAAAGAAAACACGCGGTCTCGATTGCGTCCACGTGGGGTCATCCCAAAGGGGCTGTGCCACTCATACAAGGTGAGGAAGACAGCTGTGACATGGAGGGAAACAAAGATGCCAAGCCACATGGACCAGTGGAGGGGCCACATGAAGGCGCCGATGGGCGCAGCCGTGTCACGAGTACGAACCTGAGCACAGAATGGGAGAACATTTAGAAATAAACTGGAACCATGCAATACAACCTTGCGTCTAAAGGATCTTCTGACATCCTCGGCTGCTGCTGTGGATCTGCTGCTGTCGGGGCAGATGGCTCCCCTGATGGCGTTTCCTTAACTTAGCTTGTCTGGCTCATCTGAACTCAGCCCAGTGTGTTCCATTTTTTATCTAATATCCTTAAGCATGTGTGTGTGTGTGTGTGTGTGTGTGTGTGTGTGTGTGTGTGTGTGTGTGTGTGTGTGTGTGTGTGTGTGTGTGTGTGTCAGACGATGAGTGTAATGCAGGGTATTATTGTCCTATTGCTTTCTATATTTATGGGGAGGGAGGGAATGTGGGTATTTTAATTTGTAAAGCACTTTGAGTTGCATTTATTGTATGAATTGTGCTAAATAAATAAAGTTTGATTTGATTTGATCATTTAACTGTACAGGCAGAGACGTGAGGGTTGCAAATTTCTCCCATCTTGTGTCCCAGAGCAAAGGGAATCCCAAGGTGCATCAGCAATATTGTCTCTCCTGCCTTTCCTACAGCCTCCATCCACTCTGTTGCAAAATGTGAAAACTTTCAGTCTTTCTTTGTGGACAAAGTCAATAAGGTTAGATCTAGCATCTCTCCCTCAGCCTTATCTCTGCCTCTTCCGACTCCAGCCCGGCCTGACATTCTAAATGGCTTTGCTCCTGTTTCTTTGCCTGAGTTAACCAAACTAGTTAACTCTATGAAGACCTCTGCATGCCCCCTCGACATCTTACCCTCATCTTTGTTTAAAAGTGCTTTTCAGTCCATCGGTCCCAGCGTGCTCTCTATAATTAATGCTTCTCTGGTTTTTGGTCAGGTCGCTGCTTACTTTAACCCTCCCACTGTCCTAATGGGTGTGATCCCGCGAGGAAAGTTGACCATTGAGCAGGATTGATGGTTTATTCCTTGGGTCCATGTGGCAGGGGTAAGGAATGAGCATCACCTCACCCCTGCCACATGGACCTCAAGGGATAAACCATCAATCCTGCTCAATGGTCAACTTTCCTCACATGGTCACCCATAAAAACAGTGGGAGGGTTAAGTATGCTGTAATCCACCCACTTCTTAAAAAAAACAAGTCTTGACCCTCTTTTTATAGCAGCTTCAGACCCATCTCTAAACGTCCATTCATCTCCAAGATCTTGGAAAAGGTTATGGCTAAACAACTCACAGCTGCTCTTGATGAACATAACATCTATGATAGCTTCCAGTCAGGTTTTCATAGAGCTCATTCTACTGAAACAGCTCTTCTTAGGGTCTCTAATGACCTTCTTACTGACAGTGATGCAGGGGACTGTTCTGTTCTGGTCCTGCTGGACCTGACTGCAGCCTTTGACACTGTTGACCATCACCTGCTACTGGAGAGGCTGAGAGACTGGGTAGGCCTATCAGGAACTGCTCTGGAGTGGTTCTCCTCTTATCTTTCTGAGCGCTCCTTTTCTGTGGCCGTCTCCAAGTTTAGGTCCTCCACCACCTCTCTTACCCATGGTGTCCCACAAGGTTCTGTGCTGGGGCCCCAGCTCTTCCTCCTCTATCTGCTTCCTCTTCAGCACATCCTGAGCTCCTTCAAAGGAATCTCCTACCACCTTTATGCAGATGACATCCAACTGTACATCTCCTTTAAGCCCCATGAGATGTCTAAGCTGCAGCTGTTACACACCTGCTTAGACTCTTTCAAAACCTGGATGGCTGGGAGTTTTCTTCAGCTGAATGAAGATAAGACTGAGATCCTCATCAGTGCCCCAGACAAGCTGGTTCCCAAAGTCAGAGACTCTCTTGGTCAGCTTGCTTCTCACACCAAACCCTCTGTCAGGAATCTTGGCGTGACCTTTGACTCAGCCTTCACCCTGGATTCTCATGTCACTTCTCTTGTTCACTCTTCCTTCTTCCATCTCAGGATTATTGCTAAGCTGAGTCCCATTCTGTCCCGCTCTGAACTTGAGACAGTTATCCACACCTTCATCTCCTCACGATTAGACTACTGTAACTCTCTTTTCACGTGTCTGAGCAGAACCTCCCTGAACCGTCTACAGGTGGTTCAGAATGCCTGTGCTCGGCTTCTGACCAAGTCCTCCAAACGCACCCACATCACCCCGCTTCTCCTCCAGCTTCACTGGCTGCCAGTCAACGTCAGGTAACAGATTTTTTGCTGCTGTGGCCCCCAGACTCTGGAACTTTCTCCCCCTGAGCCTGAGATCAGTGGACTCAGTGGTCTCCTTTAAAAAGCAGCTGAAAATTCACTTGTTCCAGCTGGCTTTTGTGTGACCTTCATCACCACCCTTGTTCTGCTCTTTATATTAATGCCACCTTTAACTGTGGTCCACTGATTTCCCTCTTTCCTTTTCATTTTCTCTCTCCCTTTCCTTACATTGTTATTATTTTTCAATCCCAATTATTTTCTCATTTCAAACACATTTTTTAATCATTTTTTGAAATCTTTTTTATACTTTGTTTTTATGTTTATGTGAAGTGCCTCATGATTTTTATATTGAGAGGCGTTATATAAAAGAGTGTCTTCTTTCTTTCATATCACTGTTAAAAAATGTTGTTGAGAAAATCTAGAAGATTGTAACGAAATTATTCTTGAGCTGGTTGGATTCTTCTGTGAAACACACCAGGAGGGGAATCTCAGAGATTACTCTGAAAGACCATTACTGTAAATAAAGGACATCTACCTCTGCAACAACATTCTAGTGGGATAAGCACAGAGAATTATTACCACAATCACTACGTCTGTCAGCTGGTAAGACACACTATAGTAATTGTGGTAATAGGGTCACCCCACAAAGCTGTGCACTCACCAGTCCAACCCCACACGGGGAATTGCATTAGAGTCCAATAAACTAGGGCTTGCTGTTATAAAACTCTGCCATATTGATAGTGACCACCAGAATACCAAGCAGAGGGAGTTTAGCTGAGGTCAGTGACACACAGCAAAGAGAGATGAGACAACAAGCGACAGAAATGAGGAAAATAGTATAACAGTAAGAGAAAAAAAAACATAGAAGTGAGATTGAGAAGGGTCATACTGACCAGAATCCCCAAGCTGGTAGAAAAGAAGGGCGAGGTGAAGTCAATGACTTGACTCCTAGCTGAATTGATACTAAAAGATGTCACTGCTAGGTGAGCGGCTCCACTTAGCAGATCACCCACCAACCCTGTCCAGCGACCATTCTTGAACCCTCCATACTTCCCATCGCCAACAATATACAGGTCAAATGTAAATCCAATGTCCTCTGCCAGCTTTTCCAACAAGTCAATGCAGTAACCATAGCAACATTTTTTTAGGTGTGTGGAAACAGACCCATTGGGTCCTTTAAGATTCTGGAAAAGTCCTTTCAAAGTTGAGGTTTCATTAGTGAGTGGATCCAAGCACAGCTGGCCCGCTGGACACATCCCATCTCCATCCACCTCACGGGTAAACACAAAGGGGTGCTCCACCAGTGTCACCACTCGCATGTGCAGCCGTGCAGATCGGCGCCAATCGCTTCCACCTCCAGGCCCGTGATGACTTGGCCAGTCCATCAGAACTCTTCCTCTGCGCCAGCGTCCCAAGCGAGTCCAGGTTGGCTGGCCTAGAGGGTCCAGCTGCAGGGACCAGATGTAGTGGTGGGCCTCTGAGATGATATTCTGACTGTGGCTTTCCCTGGAAATGAACCCACTCTGGCCCTCAAATGATGTGTTGGACAGAAATCTGAGGGGAATGAAGGAGAAGAAAAGAACAAAAGTAAAGGCAGGAAGTAAAGAAGGTAAAGCAAAGAGAGATAAAAGGAGGGAAGCAATACATATTCTTCAGTTTTAAACAGAAATTAAAAAGTAAAAATTCCAGCTAAACACAATTTAGCCTTCTGGCAAATATTTTTTCCATAAAAGCAAAAAGTAATTTACTGGAAACTGATTATAGATATTTGGTACAGGCCAAACGTTTGGACACACCTTCTAATTCAATGTGCTGTCTTTATTTTCATGACCATTTACATTGGGAGATTCTCACAGAAGGCATCAAAACTGTGAATGAACACATGTGGAATTATGAACTTAACAAAAAAAGGTGAAATAACTGAAAACATGTTTTATATTCTATTTTCTTCAAAATGGCCACCCTTTGCTCTGATTACTGTTTTGCACACTCTTGGCATTCTCTTGATGAGCTTCAAGAGGTAGTCACCTGAAATGGGTTTCCACCTTTTGAAGCAATAAATATGTGCAAGTATAAACATTCAGCTTTTACTGTTTTAAATAAGGTCATGTGTGTGCATGCAAAAATGTTCTCTGCAATGAATCTGTTATATCTCATTTGAGTTATAGGATCTGTATTCTGTACCAACTGGCACACAGACTAACAATGCAAACTCAGTAGGTCTTTTTAGGGCAAATGAACAAATTAAAAAGTATTTGGCAAAAAAATATATATTGATTTTATACATTATTCTTATAATCTTAAATACAAAACTATGAAGCAAATTTGTGATTTCTAAATACAAAAACGTATAAACATTGCATACGTGCATTTAATGAAAACAGAACTTAAAAATTAAAATTACTCACAGGTTATTAGGAATATATATATATAAATCAGCGTTAAGCAGATATTTGAAAATAAGTTTAATGTTCTGGTCTAATTTCTTAAATGTTTGAACTTCCACAGCTGAGGAACTTTTTATTCAGTGCAGGAGTTCGCTGACCGCAAACTGTAAGTAGGTCAGAGTCAGAGCAGACAATAGGGGGGGAAAAAGCATCAGTTCTAAAACTCAAATAACTGGAGCAATATGGAATAATATTTCTAACAAGTTTTTTTAGAGGGGTCAAGTGACATCCATTGCACTATTATTTCTCTTATTGTAAGATATGCATGTGCTTTTATTTTGGGGGTCAGGCACCCGTATGGAGAAGAGGGAACAAATATTTAGATGAGATAATTGAGTTTCCTTCATGAAACAAAAAAATTAACAGCTTAAAAGTAAGCTGCTTGTATCTTTTGGAGCATTTTCTAAAAAGGAAATCCTTTCCTCACATCCAGATGTGTTCATAAATGCATGCATAAAATGAAAAGCTTGATTTCTCTTTAAACGTCATTGGCAAAAACAATAAAAAAGACATAATTCAAATAGGGCTATAACGTTAAGGCAGAAGCTTTTATTTTGTTTGCATCCACCCACTGTGCAAGGTGACGCTGCAGCAACGTCCGTTCCAGGTCGTTTAAGAACGTCCCAACTTGGTCCCCAGAAAGTGCAGACTGAGACGCCATCTTTTTCATGACATCCACTACACGTCGCAAATTGTCCTGCTTAGTATGTTCCGATTATGCTTATTTCTGGTGTAAATGAGGTCGTTGTGGACATCCTTCAAACGTCCCCCAGACACGTCGCAAAGTCTTTTCCAAGTAACTTTTGCATGTCCAGATATGGTTAATATTAGTCTAAATGAGGTTAAGATGGACATCCTTCTCACGTCCACCAGACGTCATGGCGATTATTTCAGGTCTTTTGCACGTCTGTATGTGAGCTAATTTTGGGCTAAAGGAGTTCTCATGGATGTTCTTATGTCCCCCAGACATCACACAACAATGTCTATTTTGGGTCATTTCTGCTATTATAATAGCCATATATGCTAAATAGCATTCATGCTAATTTTAGACAGGTTTATGAACACCTGACTTATTCCAGAAACTAGAGCTAACATGCTATATAAACCAAACCCACCAGTTGTATTCGATGTGTTTTATTTAACACACACACGCAAACACACACACACACACACGCACGCACGCACGCACATACACACACACACACCGGTTGATCATGTGCTTAATTTAACATTATTAATATTTTTGAGAGGCTCCACATCTGCATTGCTCTGAACCTTATTAGGTCTTCTGTAGCCGTGTTGTGAGCTATTTCATGGCTCCATCTGCACGAGCACAAAAAGACAAGTTACTGGAAACATCAGCACAACATGTGGTTATTTTCCTAAATCAAAAATCTGAAACAAATAAAGACAGTCGATTACTATTGCATCAGTATTAATCAGTCTCAGGGGACATGCTAGCATTAGCGTAGCAATCATTTTTAACTAATGCCGATGAAGATATGCCAAAACAGCAGATTTAATGATTTTACCTCACAAAGCTTAACAGTAATAAACAACACATGAACTGGCTTGAACAAACTTACCATCACACTCCTGGACGTGATGTTCTTAGTCCGCCAAAACATAAAAAATTCAAATGCAACTGCAAAAGCCATTTGTCATGCTGCAGAAAAATGTTTAATCTTGTAACAATGTTTTTACTTTCTGATATAAGTGCCTCTTTTTCAGTTTATTTGTTTTTCTTTTATTGTTACTAAAGATGCCTCAAATGTTTTCCATTATGTGTTGTTGTCTCACAAGAAATTGTAATAAGCATTTAATGATAATAAAGAATAAAAATAAAAAAAGTCCGCCAAAACGTGTTTTCTTCTCTTCCTCTTCCTTCTTCTTCTTTGAGATTTTGAGACGGTACTCAAACAATTCGAGGGGCATTACCACCACCAACTGGTGAAAAGTGTGAATCAGCAGTCTAACAACTAAATGGCTAGATAGATGATCGATAATAGATAATAAATAATAGATAACGATAGATAGATAATAGATAGATGATGGAAAATAGATAATATATGACAGACAGACAGACAGACAGACAGACAGACAGACAGATAGATAGATAGATAGATAGATAGATAGATAGATAGATAGATAGATAGATAGATGATAGATAGATAGATAGATGATAGATAGATAGATAGATAGATAGATAGATAGATAGATAGATAGATAGATAGATAGATAGATAGATAGATAGATAGATAGATAGATAGATAGATAGATAGATAGATAGATAGATAGATAGATAGATAGATAGATAGATAGATAGATGGATGGATAGATAGATAGATAGATGATAGATAGATAGATAGATAGATAGATAGATAGATAGATAGATAGATAGATAGATAGATAGATAGATAGATAGATAGATAGATAGATAGATAGATAGATAGATAGACAGATAGACAGATAGACAGATGGATGGATGATAGACAGATGAAAACTGCATGCAATATTTCAGTTTATTCAAATTCAAATATTGTTTCTCCATTTTATATTAACTCATTAACTGCCAGCAGTTTCCTGAACAGAAAAGCATCCCGCTGCCAGCGTTTTTTGAGTGTTTTTACTATTTTTTGATTGTGCTCTATGATGATATCAATGCCAACGTTACCAAAACAAAGAGCAAACCCACTTACATCAGGAAGAATCCGCTTGTTTCTAGCATCATCTGTTCTTTCGTAATCTGTTGTCAAATTGTGAGCTCACTTTATTCACAGCAAAAAGTGAAAACGAACTCCTAGCACATTAATTTTCAGCTTCCTGATAACATGACATGCAATATATGTGGATGAAGATCAGCTTTAGAGCTGTGATGTTTGTTCTCATGATGCGGAGGATCGTTCCAATGCCTGCCCAGTAAAAAAATGCAAATGACAACTTTCATCATTAATGGCAGCAGCGGTTGAATTTAAAATGATGACTTTTGTCATCAATGGCAGTACATGAGTTCACGACAGTATAAAATATGTTTAAAAGACAAGTAACAATATTTTGTAGAAAGGACGTCCACAACGTCCTCCTTTGGACCAGAATTAGCTCATATCTGCAGTTGTGGAGACGTCAGTACTGGACATCTCAAGGAATGATAAGAAAATATGTCATCTGGCATCCCTGACTGAGTGTGAAGGAAATGACAAGGATAAGTCACTGCAATGTGTCTACGTGATGTCAACAAGACATTTACAAAGACCTCCTATGGTCTAGATGTAGCCCCTATCTGGAGGTCATGGAGCCGTGAATACCAGAGGTCAACAAGACATCATCCGGCATCACAGTCTGCACCTTCAGTGGACCAAAAAATGAAGGTGAGGGAAATGACCTGGATATGACGTTGCTACGACGAGTCTTTGAGCACGTGAGTGACGATATTTTTAATGTTTTTTTCTCGCACCTGTTTTAGACGTGGCCACGACGTTCCCAAAAGTAATACCCAACCCAAGGTCCACATGTTTCATGTCATATTGACGTCCAAGTGGGGTCATATTTAGACGTCCATATAATGGACCTGGTTTGCACGTCTAGAATTGGTCAAGAGAGATCGACTCAAAATAGACTTGATCTGCATGTCCATGCGACTTTGTTAGGTTGGTTAGGTCGGGGTCATCTTCAAGTAAACAGTACTGAACTTAGTGTTGGAACTTACGTTTTATTTATGGATAGTCTTTAAAAAACACACTTTAGGAAGGTTACTGTCATGATGACAGGAAGCTTCCTGACCCACATGAATGAATCACAACAGGCAGAAGGTAAGAAAGAATAATATTGTTTATTAAAGGGAAAATAAATTAACTGAGGACGCAGCTCCAAACGGGGGCTGGAGAAACAAAGGGCATCACTTCAAATGAAGCGGGAACCAGACCCGAGTTGAGCTGGAGCTGAGGATGGATGTGAGGACGGGGTAGGTCAGGTATGGTCGATGGTCGAGAGGGATGAGGCAGGTAAGTTGTGGCTGTCGGGTGTCCAGGGCAGGTGGACGGCGGAGAGTAGGTGGCCAGGGGAGATGAGTGATGATGTTGAAACACACACTCCAGGGAAGCAGAAACT